TAGAGCTTTAGTATGAGGTCATGTGGGTAATTTCTGCCTGTCCTCTTGCTTCGTACCTTTTGGTGTTTTACCTTGATGATAGGTGATATTTTCTGGGAGAAACTTAATTTAAGTGGCTGCTTTTGTTTGTTTACTAAGTACCTTATTTTCAATAGTATAGCAGTGTGAAGGATCCCACTACAGTGTTACTATTATAATGATTGGCTGTAAAAATAAACATCTCATTGTAAAGAATTTTTATATAATTTTAGAACCAAATTAAGTATTTTCAATTATAATGTTATTTCAGTTTTAACATATGCCAATGATAGTTGGAGAACCACTGGAGACTTGAAAGTTAAATGCATTTAAAAACAAGTGCATGAGGGAAACGATGAACATAAAATTGAGTGAATTCAGTAGGAGTGAAGAAATGAGGGAAATGTCTAGGTTTCCACTAGTGTCAACAGTTGCAGGGAATCACGTGGATATACTGTCCGGGAAATGCAGGAGTGCGAGGGAATAAAAGAGCGGATTTTCTGGCTACAAAAGCGAAAGTTATGGGAACACTCGTATTGGACAAGGGACCATATATAAATGACTTTTGGCAGAAGACACAGGATTAGATGAAATAACATGGGCAAGAATGTGTGAATGAGGAATTAAGTATGGATCTGGCAATGAACGACGGATGAGAGAAAGAGATCGGTGTGTGCATAATCAGTGTGCTATGGGAACAGCATCTACACCTTACGCCATTTGCTGTGGGAGACGGATCATCTGTGGGTATTCCCGGTGTGCTATAATGTGGATTCTTAAATCAGTAATTAGTAGTGTCAACAGTTATATGACAGAGAAGATGGCTTTGTATTGCACACATTCTAAGGAAAAATGAAAAGACAATCACCACATAGGCACTGAAGTGGGAAATAGATGGATTGAGGAAATGATGTCCAAGTTTGAACAATGAATCAACATCTTGGCACACAGATAGTAACCCATAAGTGCTCCATTCTTCTTCTAACTCAAGTCCGAAGAAGCTCAGCACAGTCCACAGGTTCTGTAGCACCGGCGAGGATCTTGAAATACTTTGGGTAGAGTTTCAAATCCAAATTTTTCCCGGGCAGCGCCATTAGGCTACTTTTTTCAATTCCTGACTGCCAAGGGATTTTTTTTTACATGCGCGACAAAGCACACGGGCATCGGATGTCACTTCCCAGAGACCAGGAGGAATTACTAGAAGTCCAAGTCCACATGAAAAAATCCCAGCCCTAACCCGGAATTGAACCCTGAACCTCTAGCACTCAAGGCAGACACCATGACCTGAAGTAAACGCTCATGAGAGATGCCAAAGCTGCGTTCTTGTTGTTGTTTTGTTACGATCACAGTATATTGGGCAGCCTATCTGCCAGTATGTTGTACTTATTATGATAAGGTAAACATGTTATATATATCCTAATTCACAGATGTGCAGATTTCTGTTGTCTATGCCTAGAGTGACTGTTCCACAGGCACTGAACCTGGCACACAAGTTCCGCTCTGTCATCGAATTAATGTCCAGGTGAGTAGAGATGTAACTAGACGCCCACCATTTTTCATCCACAGTTAGGGAAAAACTAACCATTTTTTAATTGACCCTAGAAAATTCATTTAAACCCCTTCAGTTCAGTATGTGGGTTCCGAGACCCCATATTAGAGAAAGCATGGATATTCGTTTAACAGATCTGGCTTATTTGTATGCAGGCTGTTGGTGCCTCACACCTCAGGCATTTGCACTCCAACTTCGAATGAACCACACCTAATTAGTAATCTTTTACTACATGCTTTCTCCGAGACCTGACAAGTGGAACATCTTGTACAGAGGAAAAGAACAGCTTATGAAAACATGCAAATTCCATTACAGTGCATTGGGCCAGAGGGCGAAAGCTCATGCGCCGCTGGATCGATAACAATAATAACTACATGCTTGCTAAGGAGGCAGTGAGTCTGTTCTTCTTCCTTGCCCCGCCCCAATCTTCCCCCAACAAAGTCCCAGAAGCGACACAGAGATTTTATGGTTAAGATAGAAAAGATTGTAATATCGAAGCAGTGGGTTTGTTCTTCTTCTTTGACCCGCCCCACCCTCCCCCAGCAAATTCCCAGAAGCCACACAGAGATTTTGAGGTCAAGATAGGAAATATTGTAATAGGGGAGCAGTGGGTCTGTTCTTCTCCCTTGACCCACTCCACCCTCCCTCAATGAAATCCCAGAAAACACATAGCAATTTTGAGGTCAAGATAGGAGAGATTGTAATAGCGGAACAGTGGGTCTGTTCTTCTCAATTTTGCCGCCCCACCCTCCCCCCAACAAAGTCTCAGAAGTGACACAGAGATTTTATGGTTACGATAGAAGAGATTATAATAGGGAAGCAGTGGGTTTGTTCTTCTCCCTTGACCTGCCCCACCTTCCCTAATGAAGTTCCAGAAACGACACAAAGATTTTATGGTCAAGATAGGGAAGATTGTAATAGGGGGAGCAGTGAGTCTTTTCTTCTCCCTTGACCCACCCCACCCTCCGCCAACGAAGTTCCAGAAGCCACACAGAACTTTTGAGGTCAAGATGAGAGAGATTGTAACCAACTTCTCCTGGTAACAATCAGCAGATATACCTTGGAGTGGCTGTAATGGCTACTGCTTTGGATGACTGAGCACAAACCTCCAGAATGGTTTTTATGAGAGTGATCTCTTTTTTATATAACTAATAAAAATAGTTTATGTCACTATTGTTCATTTCCTTCAGCAACTCTGCTTTGAATCTTAGTCTACTAGAACATTTGTGTTTGATTGTACCAGAAATGCTGTCCTCTACCAGTTAGCTCCACTGCCAAGACACCCAAATGTCTCCTTTCCAGCAAAATAGCAAATGATTAATGGCATCTTCATCCCTACTTCATGCTATCAGTGCCAAGCGTGGACAATGAATAGGGCACTAGAGCGGAAAATAATTACATGTGAAATGCGCTGCATCTAGAAGGTCACTAACAACACTAGAATGTTTGAATAAGACTGTATCTGGATTATATTGACAGACAAAGAATGAAATGATTTGGCCATTTAGTGAGAATGCATCCAGACCAAACTGCACAAGAGAGTTTTACAGCAGAGCATCTGAGAGGAAGAGGAGGGGAAGACCAAGAAAGAGATGGATAAATGGTGTAGCTGAAACCTGCAAAAAGATGAACAAATCTATTACACAAGCCACCCAAGAAGTGCAAGACAAATACAGAAAACCACAACACTGGGCTACCACCTGGTATCAGGGAGATGACAAAAGAAGAAAAAAGTATTCTTCCTCTTAGGCTGTGTATGTTTTCTGACAAAGTCAGACATTGTCAGTAAGTACCTTTTTACCCCCATGGTACAGTAAGCTAATGGTGCTTGATCAAACATCAACATCCTGGCTGCCTTTACTTCCCATATCATTTTTTGGGGACCCATTTTAAGCCTGGTTGACCTGGGATCCCTAGGTCGGCTATACTAGTCACTGAATGCAGACTCAAACCCAAGGCTAGTAGGTAGTGTTTTAGCCACTCTGCTACCATGGCTCCCATCCTATAGTGTATTCTGCTGAGTTGATCAATATCTCATTGTTTTCTCTGTAACAATAAGTCAACTGCTGGCTTGCTAGGCCTGTCACAGCTTCACCGGAGCCGTGTTGGTCAGGATGTTTCTGGGTGACCAAGGATGGCCTTGATGGCTACTGTAAAGGCCCCACAGAATGAGGCCACACCCCCTCGACACCCCCACCCCACCCCAAGCGGTGAAAATAGAAGTGTAAAAAAAATAGAAGTGAACTAATTGTTTATTCATATATTGTTAAATTCTGATTTAGTTTGAGTTATCTGACCTGGGTCAAAGCATTTAATGGATGGAATATCTGAGGCCGTGTACCACCATCTGTGCAGTCCTATATATAAAGGCTCCCACCAGATACATCTTCAAAATCTGACCCTGAAAGACAGAAAAGGGTCTGGAGAAGAGAATGTTGAATTAAGAATCAACATCACAGCACACAAGACATTCCCATAAGTGCTGCATCACCATCTTCAGCAGCTAGCTCACCAGTAACAGTCTGATGTATGTTCATCTCACTTTTCCCTTGAGTGTTGAATGTCTATCAGATCTCCAGATCACTTCTCGCAGAATCATTCTCGTCATATCATGAAAAACAGAACAAAGAAGAAGTCAGAGCACCTTTGTTCTGTGCTGAATTAACTGTTTGTATGTTTTCTTCTGTAGCTCACCAGGTGTGATTCAAGAGCGAGGTTGCATGACTGTGGATTCTGCTCAATCGTTGCACCAGTTTCTGCGCCACCAATTTGATATTCAAATGATGCCCAGTTCAAAGAGTTAGCACATGCAAATTTAAAATAACCAACCAGCAATGCAGATTTAAACTAGCTGAACACCATAAATAAAAACTACCTATAAAGTTAGTTACGAGTGACTTCTTGATTTTTTGCCATTTGAGGTTCATTTTTGCAGATATCCTTCTCCATTCATATCTGTAATTGACCATGCTCCAATTGTTTGTAGATCTATTGGCATGTTTTTTCTCAGTAGTTTTCTTGATCTGCCTCACAGTCTTCTTGGTCTGTCTCACAGTCTACTTGGCCTGTCTCACTGTCTTCTTGGTCTGTCTTACAGTCTTCTTGATCTGCCTCACATTCTTCTTGATCTGCCTCACAGTCTTCTTGATCTGCCTCACATTCTTCTTGGTCTGTCTCACAGTCTTCTTGGCCTGTCTCACAGTCTTCTTGGTCTGTCTCACAGTCTTCTTGGCCTGTCTTACAGTCTTCTTGGTCTGTCTCACATTCTTCTTGATCTGTCTCACATTCTTCTTGGTCTGTCTCACAGTCTTCTTGGTCTGTCTCACAGTCTTCTTGGCCTGTCTCACAGTCTTCTTGGCCTGTCTCACAGTCTTCTTGGTCTGTCTCACAGTCTTCTTGGCCTGTCTCACAGTCTTCTTGATCTGTCTCACAGTCTTCTTGGTCTGTCTCACAGTCTTCTTGGTCTGTCTCACAGTCTTCTTGGTCTGTCTCACATTCTTCTTGGTCTGTCTCACAGTCTTCTTGGTCTGTCTCACATTCTTCTTGGCCTGTCTCACTGTCTTCTTGGTCTGTCTTACAGTCTTCTTGGTCTGTCTTACAGTCTTCTTGGCCTGTCTCACAGTCTTCTTGGTCTGTCTCACAGTCTTCTTGGCCTGTCTCACATTCTTCTTGGTCTGTCTCACAGTCTTCTTGGTCTGTCTCACATTCTTCTTGGCCTGTCTCACTGTCTTCTTGGTCTGTCTCACAGTCTTCTTGGTCTGTCTCACAGTCTTCTTGGCCTGTCTCACAGTCTTCTTGGCCTGTCTCACATTCTTCTTGGTCTGTCTCACAGTCTTCTTGGTCTGTCTCACTGTCTTCTTGGTCTGTCTCACAGTCTTCTTGGCCTGTCTCACAGTCTTCTTGGCCTGTCTTCTTGGTCTGTCTCACAGTCTTCTTGGCCTGTCTCACAGTCTTCTTGGCCTGTCTCAGAGTCTTCTTGGCCTGTCTCACAGTCTTCTTGATCTGTCTCAGAGTCTTCTCTCACCCAACATATTTTTGTAGTTTTTGTCTCTCTGTTACCAGCTATTCTCTCTATATGCCCCAACCATTGTATTCTATTAAAATTGTCCCCGTGATGGTAGTAATTAGTAGTGATTTTAACACATTGTGAACTCCTTTGTTGCTTCTCTCTTTCCATTCTCCATAGTTTATATCTTTGTGAATACACAGATTTGTTATGAGACTCTTCTCCAAACTTAGTTACCAGTGATCTTATAGAATAAACTTAATGTAAATTTCTTGACTTTGTTGTATTGCATTCATTCATATTAACCCAAACTAATTATTACACTGGGTTTACATAATTTCATGAAGTGCAGTATGTTGATGTTGTAGACGTGACTGTGACAAGTGGGTGTGACCAGTGGCTGTGACCCTGACCAGTGAATGTGTGCAGTTGAAGATACATTTAGGCATATGGTGCTAGGTCTATTTTTACAGACCAATCAACACTCAATGTGTTAAAGGCTAAAGTCGAGAGGATCGACGTCAATGCACCAGGTTTTATCCCACATGGCTCTGTCTGTCTCCAAAGCACGGCTAACCACCTGCCGAGAGCATCACACAGAGCATGGACTCCGTAGCTCTGGCGACGATCCCCAGGGATTTTCATAAAAAGTGCACTCGTGAACTGAATGGCGCAGCCGCGAAAAGAACCCACTTTATGTATGTATTAAGATATTTCTGTTATATCTATCAGTTCGGTTAACTGTCACAGCCATGGTATCCTTTAAAAAAAAAAAAAAAAAAGTTAAGCAAAAGTAAAGTACCCTTTTCCAAGCCTTCATTCATATAGGGCTAGACCTAAATGTTATGGACAATCAGTGCTCGGTGGGTGATATGGTCAACATCATGTCGGCCACCTTTACTTCCCAGGGGTGCCCATTTTAGGTTGAGAGTTTACTTTCCTGGACATTTCCTGGTACCCATTCTAGGTTGAGTCGATGTGGAAGCAAAAGTCATTTTTGCTACAAATTATAAATCTGGTAAAGAATTCTCTTCCTCATTGTCTGTCCTTTTTTTTTTTAAAGACAATCTCCAGAAAATTGTGGAAATTACCTAATACCCACTATCCCTTTTTATTTTAGACAATTCCCAGAAAGTTGTGAAAATTATCTAATACCCACTATTCCTATTTTAAACAATTCCCAGAAAGTTGTGGGAATTAGCTAATACCCTCTATCCCTATTTTAGACAATTCCCAGAAAGTTGTGGAAATTATCTAATACCCTCTATCCCTATTTTAGACAATTCCCAGAAAGTTGTGGAACTTATCTAATATCCCTCTATCCCCATTTTAGACAATTCCCAGAAAGTTGTGGAAATTATCTAATACCAGCTATCCCTATTTTAGACAGTTCCAAGAAAGTTGTAGAAATTGTCTAATACCCACTATCCCTGTTTTAGACAATTCCCAGAAAGTTGTGGAAATTATCTAATACCCACTATCCCTGTTTTAGACAATTCCCAGAAAGTTGTGGAAATTATCTAATACCCACTATCCCTTTTTTTTTATACAGTTCGCAGACAGTTGTGGAAATTATCTAATACCCGCTCTTTTTTTTAAAGACTATTCCCAGAATATAATGAAAAGACCAGAGCAAATCATTATTCTATGCCTTAGAACAGGACACATTCGACTTCGCAGCCACATGTATGCAAAATTTAAGATTGGTGAATCAGCCATGTCTACACATGGATTAGCACCTGAGACAACAGACCATGTCAAAAATACCAATATCAAGGCAAAACCTTTGGCCAAGAGAAACACCGGCTAAAGCCAAACATTATGGGTCGCTGATTGAATTATAACAGACAGTGAATTTTGTACAACTTTATACTAGAGACAACATTGCAGGTATAGATAATCTCATTCAAGCGAGCGAAAGAAGAAGGAGAAGAACTGCCTGAAGGCAATGTTTTTAGGGAAGTCATCAGTCAAGCTCATAAATGTGCTATTTATACCAGCATTGTGCTATCAATACCAGGCATGGACACTCCTAGAAAATTCACCTAGATCCTTAACAGTTGAACTCTTGTGGGTTTTTTCTGTGGAAATCTTACCTTGTTAGCTTTTGATGGTTGAATTAAATACACTGTTCGGGTATGCAGGAGCGCGAGGGAATGAAAGAGCAGATTTCTGGCTGCAACAATGAAAGCTACGGGAACACTCGTATTGGACAATGGAAATATTCTGAAGACCATATATGAACGACTCTTGGCAGAAAATATGAGATTAGATGAAATAACAGGTGCAAGTATGTGTGAACAAGGAATTAAATGTGGATCTGGCAAGGAGGGACGGATGAGAGGAAGAGAATGACGTGTGTATAATCAGTGCTCCTGGAGCATCTACACCTTACATCATTGGCTGCAGGAGACAGGTATGCTCAGTGTGCTATGATGTTGATTCTTAAATCAGTAAATTAAATACAACATTTTGCTTCACACTATACATCACTCATGTTTTAACAAGGTACACATTGGTTAAATGGATAGATTATTTTATTCAGTCAAAACTGCAAAGTCGTTTTACAAATAATTTGTTGAAACTGGATAACTCTAGAAACTCTAACTATGTGACATGATACAAGGCTTCATAAATGGAATGTAAGATTTCTAAGCACAACCAGCTATATGCTCCGGGAAAAGGGAGGGGGGGGGGAATAGAATACAAATAAAACAGAAATATCAAGCAGCAAGTTTGCAATTATATTTCATAAAAACAAATTATCATTTACTAGTGCATATCATATATATAATAAAATACACAAAGTATCAACTGTCAACATAGCTAATATTATGTTTTCACAAGATACTTTAAAATGGAAAGGAAAGGAAAGTAAGAGTCATAATTGTAGCAAGTAAATAAAGTAATACATGTTGAATACCAAATAGGAAAGACATCTTAAAAAACAAAATCTTTAATACATTATCTCTTTATTGATGAAAACAACATCAATGATGAAAACTAAATGTTGAAACAATTATTTTTGAAGAAAATGAGACATTAAATCTATTATCTCTGTAATCAAAAGCAAAATTTGAATCAGTAAATTATCTGTCTTAGATAAAAATGAAATAATTCATTCATTATCTTTGTGATGTCAATGACATCAATTTTCTATCAGTTGTCTCTCTGATGCAAATTAAGACATTCAGTCATTGGACTCTATGATGAATAAAAATGAGATGGATGTTGAATCTGTTACATTTTTGCTAAAGAACAAACTCTGGTACATCCATCTGTTTGTTGTAAAAAAAAAAAAACTGCATTAGTTTTCTTACAGCATTAGTTATTTATATGTGCCTTTATCACTGAAATTTCCAGCTATCAGGATAATTTACAACGCCTCTTTTCTCATAAAATGACCAAAGTCTGTCTGTTTCTTGTAGCTTCACATACTATTATACTTTCCTTAGCATGCAATTACTGGTTATTATACTTCTATCAAATGTATCCACAAAATTCATCTTAGAAACCACATCTATACTGCATGTTCCTGAGTTATGGCAAATTAAAATAATAAAACATACATATCAATCAGCAAGTGTGTAGTTACAAATTATCTCTAACAAATCAATAATAATAATAATAATATAAATATTGTGTGACCTCATTATGGTTTATTACTTGTGTGTGTATGACTCTCTCTCTCTCTCTCTCTCTCTCTCTCAAGTATGTTCTCTAATTAACTTTAGTATCATACAAATGAGTAAAGTAAAAATAAAGGTACATTTTCCACACCTTTAGGCGTGTAGGGCATATAGCGCTAGACCTATATTTTTATAGACCAATCAGCCCAGGTGTGTGATGGGGTCAGCATCATGCTGGCCGCCTTTACTTTCCGGGACTGCACCTGGTACCCACTCAGGGCTTGGTCGACCTGGGAGTCAAGGTCATTTTTGTCATAAAAATGAGGGTATGTTTAATTAAATATGTTTCTCTAGCATAAAATAAAACGTTTAGCATTAGCATAAATAAGCTGTGACTTCCTGTCTGTAAACACACAATTTGACTTAATTAAGATCTCTCCAAAACAAGTCTACATGTCTGTGTGGCCAGTAGAAGCTCTGAGGCACCGGTGAAAACAGGAAATAAATACTAGCCAGAAAGGCAAGGCCCCTAACTCAGAAATATTAAATACAAGATATGTTGGATATGATCAGAGCACCTATCAATTCATACAGAGTTCTGTGGTGATATGCTGACTAAACACACAGTCTAGGTAAACCCTCCTTAATATAACATTTCTTTTCTTCCTCTTTGTACCACAGTTACAATATTTAGTCTAAACATCATATAAGAGAAATACAGGGCTACAATTGTACAGTGTCAACAGTGATAAGAACAGTATCTGAAAAACATCTCAAAACTGGTAAGCTATCACAAGCATTCTATGTTTACATTTGTTTAATACACTCGAGGTCGTAAAACATATACAGAACTAACATGCTGCCATTTTATAATTCCTGAATATTTCATTATCTTTGGGCTGATAGCTTTCAAAGTACATCACATAGTAACACTTGGTGATAACTGTGTAAATAACTATGCTTAATGAAGCAGCCAATTACTCAACTTACCTACACACACAGATTTATACAGAACTGTTCTGCATGTCCTGATAAAGGGATAAAATGAAAAACAAAAAGTAACAGTAAATTCAAGTAAACGTAATAATGTAATAACAAAAAAATAAGACCTGATCTTTGTTCAGGCAGATGATAATTTATTAGAGAGAGAGGGAAAAGTGCCGGGGTAACATATACAAGTCGTCCCCATGTGGGATGCAATTTTTTTTGGTCATTTTACAGCCCCACCTTGGCTTTTGCCGGGGGCCCTAAATTTAGATGGGTCATAAATATGGCCAAACG